TTCTAAAGTACTACTAAACCGTTTTACCCAGACTCTGGATGAAAATCAACGCAGAGAGCAAGCAGGTTTACGTAGTGATGTTTCAACAATCGACCACATACACACCATAAAACAAATTATAGAGAAATGTAATGAATACGCCATACATTATTCTTGGGCATATGTGAATTATAACAAAGCATTTGACTCTTTAAACATACAAGGATATGGGATACGCTTGCAACACGGAGTTGAGAATAAATATATACGACTAATTAGCAACATACACAAGAACATGAAAGCAAAAATACGAACAGAAAGAGTGGGAGATCACTTCCCTATAAAGAGAGGGGTCAGACAGGGAGATCCACTATCACCCAAACTTTTTACGGCAGTGTTTGAATACATATTTAGACGTCTCGAAATACAAAAACCAAAGTAATGACAAACCTGGACAAAATTTCTATCACAGTCAACGGCACAAAAATAGAATATGTCGAAGAATACACATACCTCGGAAAGATAGTATCACCAAAAGATCTTACAACAAAAGAAATAAACAGCGGAGTACAGCTAGCATGGAAAAGATATTGGTCCCTAAAAGAAATTGTCAAAAACCCACAACCACAGAAAGCTAAGAAAAAAAATTGAATCATGTATTTTACCCATCATGACATATAGATATCAGACATGGAGTTGAGTGAAACAAAACCAGCGTAAACTAGCGACCCGTCAATACAGCATGGAGAGGAGCATGCTCAACATCAAGTTAAAAGACAAAATAAAACTAGAAACATTACGAAATCAAACTAAAATAAATGAAGTAACATACTTTATAAGAAAACTAAAATGAAAGTGGGCAGATCATATGATGAGGAGTAATGAAGAAAAATGGTCTAAGAACGTTACTGAGTGGTGTCCAAGACAAAAAAAACTAAAGAAAGGGAGGCAGCGTCTTAAATGGGAGGATGATATTCGAAAAATTGCTGGAGTTACTTGGAGGAGGATTACCCAGGATCGTAAAGCGTGGCAAACTTTACGGGAGGCCTGAAACGCAAGACAATCACAAAACCGGTGTCATATAATGTATATATTTAAGTTTAAGTTACTTCATACAAACTTTTTATTACTTATAGTGTTTTCATACGCATATTTTGTAAGATTGTTAAATAAAGGTTACAGTTAAAATGTTAACTTTTTATTCATATACTATTGTGGCCGTGTAAGGAAAAAGGGAGATTCTCGCTGGGCAAGTTGTTCAGCCCTGGAAGTGGCCAATGCTCCGTGTAGTAGTTCGGAGCTATTCCATATATTATACTACTGCTTTATTTCGGAACTTTGATAGCGCGATTTAGACTTAGATGTATTTCGCTTGTGTGGCGACGACACACTATTATTATGACCATAATATCTACACTTTTAATTTTTTATATAATATAGGTATATTTTATAAAAAAAAAGCTGTTATCTCGTCGCACAAAGTGTATGACATTGATCTTACACCATGAAAATCCTTTTTTATTCAAAGGGTGTCGTAAGAGGCCTATGAAGGGTCTTCTTCTATGAAGGCCAAATATGTATAATATATGACTCCATTCTTGTAAATTATTCAGATCGACGAGACGAAGCGTCAATCAGATTTATTCCCTTTTCGTCGCTTCTTAGGAGACATTGACATTATAGACAGTGTCTATAGTGTCAATTTGACAGTTCTATGGCACAGTGGCCGGTGGACTGTAGGTTCGATTCCCACACGCATGAAGAAAAAAGGAAGGCGTCATCATAACAAAAATCTGTTTATCTTAGTAGTAACTTACACCCATAATAGTATAAATTATTATTAAAATGTATTCTTTCAGTGTGTTTTAAAATCGTAAACATTAAAAAACTTATTAGGTCATCAATCATCATCATCATTACAGCTCTTCACAAGTCCACTGCTGAACATAGGCCTCCCCCAAGGAATGCCATAAAGCACGTTCCTGAGCCACCTGCATCCATCGACTTCCTGCATATCTTACAAGGTCGTACCCCATCTAGTGGGGGATCGCCCTACACTTCGCCTACCGATACGAGGCTGCCATTCAAGAACCTTTTTTCCCCATTTGTTGTCGGTTCTTCGAGCTATATGGCTAGCCCATTGCCACTTCAACTTACTAATCGGTTGGTCTATGTCGGTCACTCTGGTCCTACTGCAAATATCCTCATTTCTAAGTGTATCACGCAGAGAAAACCCGAGCTTAGCCCTCTCCATTGCTCGCTGACCTTGAGCGTCCTCATACGACCAGCAGTGAAGAACCACGTCTCAGTTCCATAAGTCATCACTGGCAACACGCACTGGTTTTATAATATCGTTTTCAGGTTTTGGGGTATACCTGACAAGAAGATGTGTCGTAATTTCCCGAACGATGCCCAGCCGAGTTGAATCCGTTAATTGACCTCTCGGTCGAAGTTGGACTTACCTAGTCGGACTATTTGTCCCAAGTAAACATACTCGTCAACAACTTCTAGCTTAGTGCTCCCATCAACTACCGGAATAGGTGTGACGTGAAACGATGAGGCCGCACTCGTTCTTCAACTTTGACAATTAGCTCTTTCTGGCAGACAGATCTCTGAGAAAGATTTTGGAGCCTTGCTTCCACCCGATTGCCTCTTCAATACAAGCTGTATTGAAGTTGCGTAAGTCCCGCCGCATGCATTTGGAGATCTGTGTGTTCAGTTGCCTGTATACTGTCAAATCTGTTGAAGACTGCAGCTTCATTTCCCGTCTAACATCGGAGAGTTTTTGTGTTCTTCTGCGGCGGGTCTTGCAGAACTTAGCTCCGACCGCATGGACAGTTTCAACGAGCTTGTCATTCATGTCGTCCACTGCATTGCAGTCTTCTAGGCACTGACAATGGTTTTGTAACTTGAGCTGAAAGGTTTCGGGACTTTGGATTAATGAACGAGGGGGACGGAGCGTTGACTTCATTAGACAAGACCTCTCCAACTTAACGTTTAGGTTCAGTGTGCCTCGAACCATTCGGTAATCGCTACCAGTTTTCACCTTCGCGATCACTGGGACATCACTGAACAGTTGTCGTCTGGTCGTCATAATGAAGTAAATCTCATTTTTTGTCGAACCCTCGAGGCTCGACCAGGTTCACTTCCTGTGGGGCCGCTTCTGGAAGAAAGAGTTCATCATAAAGAGTCATTCATTCTCCATGAAGTCAGCCCCTTGGGTTCCGTTTCTCTATTTCGAATTTCCCTACCTTCAGGTCACCGTTCTCGCTGGTGCCTAGTTTTGCATTGAAGTCTCCCATTAACACCGTATAGTGGGATTTTGGAGGAATACATGGCTTTAGGATATCCTCATACATTTCCTCCACCTCCTCATCGGTATGTGCCGAGGTTGGTGCGTAAATCTGTATGACCTTCAACGAATATACGTTTGGTGATTCTGAGTATAAGGTACGCAAACCTAGTCGACACACAATCTTTACAACGTAGTTAACGAGAGACTTGTGGACGATAAATCCGACACCTCTTTGGGACAGATGGTCGTGTGGCGGCGCTGTCGTCGCGCCACAAGCGAAACACATCGAAGCCTAAATTGCGCTAACAAAGTTCCGAAATTAAAGCAATATATATAGAATAGCTCCGAGCTACCACTCGGAGCGTTGGCCGCTCCCCGGGCAGAACACCTTGCCCGGCGGGAGACCTACCCTTTTCCTTCCACCGGCCACAGTGGTGACTCACCGACGTGATATGAACACGCAGCTAACCACCTTCGAAAACTACACCTTCAAACCTTCATCATCCTCAAGTACCCCATTCATTCCCTCCCGAGCAGATATTGTCTGCAGTCTTCACATTCTGCAAGCTATCTAGCTTTACAAAGGTTCATCGCAGCACTGGAATAATAATGCTTCCTGTTCCTTCAAGCTACTCTCTGCGCTACAGTGTTCGACACGGCTCTGAGCCTTACTGCTCGCCTCTGCTTCACGGCACTCTCGCAGATCACTTGCCTTCTTCTCGACTCACCGCAGACTACAAGGCAATCCCTGGCACTTGCAAATTTGTCAACATCAAGACTGCACTATCGACCTCCGGTCTGAGCAGGGGGGGTGATGTAGGGGCGCTGTCGTCGTGCCACAAGCGAAACACATCGAAGCCTAAATCGCGCTAACAAAGTTCCTAAATTAAAGCAATATATATAGAATAGCTCCGAGCTACCACTCGGAGTGTTGGCCGCTCCCCGGGCAGAATACCTTGCCCGGCGGAAGATCTCCCCTTTTCCTTTCACCGGCCACAGTTGCAATCCCGGTGATAGAACAAGTTGCCGGATTCGAGGATTACCGTGTCCTCCCCCTCTCTTCGGACCTCGGATAAACCTATAATATGGCAGCGTACCTTGTCTATCTCTTCTTCCAGTTCCAGGATCTTCTCGCCAGTCCTCAGGGTGCGTGCTTTGTATGTCGTCAGGTCGAATCGTCTTAGGTGGTAACTGAACCTCCACCGAAGATTCTTAGCACCCCCTGCCCCGCTGTTACCACGGCCGCCACCGTAACCAGGAATAGCGGGGTCGCCGGGGACTGCGGGCCGTCTCTTCGTAACTTTCATCATGGGGTATATGGCCATAGGTGCCACGCTAGGCGAGCGGGTTGGCAACCGGAGTTTTTTATTGTTGTTTTGCTGTTATTGTATTAGAAAGATGCTGTTGCCCATTTTCTGCCTCAGTTTATAAATTCATTGCGTTTCTAGCGATATGTTTTGCCAGCAACGCGAGTTGGCAACCGCAATTTTTTTATTGTAATATTGCTGATATGATATCCGGAATATTACAATAAAAAAGCAGCACCTTTCTGATATCACAGCATCGTCCTGATATCAGTGATATCAGGAAGATGCTGCTGCTGTCTGTCTGTTTCCCACTGTCGCCTCGCACTGTCGGAAGATATGGGGTAGTGGATATTCTTAACCGCCACTACACTTATTAGGTATTAATCTATTTTACATTTCATTAGTTAAACGTGTATCATATGAAGCCTGCACATCCAGAATTCGATTGGTTTGAACACAATAAGAGTAAAAAGATTATGTATTATGATACGGGTGAAATGCTGGCAGAATTCGATGAAGATGGAAGAGGTCGATGGTTCTATAAGAATGGTAGACTAGCGTTGGACTATTATAATGCCAAAGGTAATTATTTTATACCTAATTTTTTGCTTTTCGAATAACTAATACCACAAAATGAGCTAAAACCAGAGTAGGACCCTTGAAGAAAAATATCGACAGCATAGTAAAAACGTTTCTATCAGCAAGAGAAAGTATTGAAAATCTTAAAAAAGTTACGTAAGATACTTAGGTTATTACGACGTGAAAGATAAAATCTTATTGTAGACGCTAGCCTGGTCGGCCCGGGGGGGTAGTACCAGTTCACATAGACAGCCGTGACCCTAGGATAATTGCTCATACGGGAACCGAACGCTAACCAAACGTGTTATACATGACACGTTTGGTTAGCGTTCGCCAAAATGAAAATGGGAGCTTGGTCGTAGTTGGGCCATAAAATGCTTCAATATTTCTTTTTGGAATTGCAACGGTCATTAGCTCCGCTGTAAGCCATTTCAAGGTTATTATTTAACTACCGGACATCCTTTATATATAGAAGATAGATAAGTAGATAGAAGAAGTTATGGATTAATTGCATACGCAAGAGAGCAAGTAAGCATTCGTCGCTCTCACACTATTATAATTTATAAATCTATTATAAATTCAACAATCTCTTAATGTGTTACAGACATACTTTTATTTATATTATGCGCACATTGCGCGATGTAGCTGTTGAAGCTGGGGCGGATTTACACATTTACCGCCAGTAGGCTATTCAAATGCCGCCCGTACCGACCTCTGCAATTCGATACTCAAGTTCACAATACAGTGAAAAATATAAAATATTAAAGAACTATAATAAAAAGAAAAAAAAAACTAAAACACTAAAACTAATGACTTAAATTATCATACAGTCCTACTCTCCGTGCTATCGTGCCAAGAACGCTAACTGCGTTTCCTCGCTAAATGACTATACTACGCCTTTGAGCGAGAAAAGAACCCTCTCTTATCACTAGCAACAACGACCAGTTACGGTTAAATTCCGCACGTGGATCCCACCGACCGATTTTACATCATCACAATCAAATTTATTTAAAAAAGAAGTAAATGAAATTCTCTCGCTCGTAAGAACTGCCAGGGGAAATTTAAAACAGCCTAGAATGAATGCTATACGAGACGAGAATGGCTGCATGTTGAATGATGAAGTTTCGAATTTAAAGAGATGGAAGGAATACTTTGAAAGCGTGTTTAAGAGTGAAGAGTCGTCTGAAATAAGTGAAGTAGAAATTCCGGAAGAAGCGGAGAGAGGTAGGGAGATAAGTGTAGATGAAATAATGAAAGCAATGAAAAGCATGAAAGCAGGTAAGGCAGCCGGATATGATAGAGTATCACTCGAAATGCTAAGGGCTGGTGAGGGTGTGGTTGCAGGCCTGCTGTATACCTTATTTAATTTGTGTTGGGAACTGAAGCGGGTACCGGAAGACTGGTGCAAAGCCGTTATAGTCCCAATATATAAGGGAAAGGGGTCGCAGCAGGACTATAAAAACTACCGTGGTATCAGCTTGCTTAGCATTGTGGGTAAACTGTATCCTAAGGTGTTAATTGAAAGAGTTATGGAAGAAACTGATGGAAAAATTTGGGATGTGCAAGCTGGATTTAGAAATGGGATGGGGTGTACGGATCAAGTGTTTTCCATGCGCATGATAGCGGAGAAGTTTTTGGCCAAAAACCAGAAAGTTTTTTGTGCGTTCATGGACTTGAAAAGGCTTATGACAGAGTGGACAGGAATGTGTTATGGCAAACACTGAACTCATTTGGGTTGAGCGCTGGCTTGATACAGGCATTAAGGTCTCTTTATAGAGACTCTAGTGCTTGTGTCAGGATCAACGGGGTCTACTCGAACTGGTTTGGCATTCATAAAGGTGTCATACAGGTATGTGTGGCTTCCCCGTGGCTGTTCAACCTATTTATGGACAGTTGTTTGCAAACTTTGAAAGTTGAAGAATGTGGGTTGAGAATGGGTAAGTCAACCGTCAAATGCCTTTTGTACGCCGATGATCAAGTCATATTTGCATCGTCGGCGGCCGAGTTGCAAATGATGGTTACTTTAATGAATTGGTGATTGAAAGAAAGCGGTATGAAAGTGAACGCAAATAAGACGAAAGTGATGGTTTTTGAAAGAGAAGAAAATAAAACTTTATGTGAAATAAGAATAGAAGGGGAGTTGATTGAGCAAGTGGATGAGCTTGTATATTTGGAATGTTTATTTAGCAGGGATGGTAGATATGACAAGGATTCAAGACGAGTGAACGCAGGAAATAGAGTGAATGGGGCTCTACACGCTATTGTGAGGAGTCAGAATCTGTCAACTAAGGCACGTATGGCAATTCATAATGCTGTGTTAGTCCCTACTTTAATGTATGGTAGTGAAAGTTGGGTCTGGCAGAAGAAGCATGAGAGTAGAATAAATGCTGTAGAAATGCGGTCCTTAAGGAGTATGCTAGGGCTGAATCTGAATGACAGGGTGAGAAATAGTGTGATAAGACAAAAGTGTGGTTTGCAAGATGACGTTGTGACAAGGATTAAGAAAGGAATGCTTCGGTGGTTTGGTCATGTAGAAAGAATGAACGAGGAAAGAGTGACAAAGCAAATTTATGTTGCAGAAGTGAACGAGGGACGCCCTAGACGAAGGGTTATCGATCAAATCGGCGATATATTAAAAATGGGCCAGATTAGGAGTACCCTTAACCGACGAGCGTGTATGCGTAAATATATGGATGTAAAAGAGGCGAGAGAGGTGTGTCAGGATCGCGCCAAATGGAAGTCCGTAGTCTCTGCCTACCCCTCTGGGTGACAGGCGTGAGTGTTTATGTTATATGTTATGTTAAATGAAATTATAACCTTATGATTTGTGATTAGTATGATTGTGAACTAGGGGATCAATAGATTATTTTAACAACCCTAGGATTTATTTAATATTGCGCAACAAATAGTTTCCGGGTATGTTTCTGAGCTAATAAAAGCTCAATCATCATCATCATCATCATCAATATTACAGCCATTTACAAGTCCACTGCTGAACATTGGGGAAGGCGCAAAGGAATGCCACAAAGCACGGTCCTGAGCCACCTGCATTCATCGACTTCCTGCTTATTTTACCAGGTCGTCATTCCATCTAGTGGGGGAAGCCCTACACTTCGTCCGCCGGTGAAAGGCTGCCACTCGAGAAACTTTTTTCCCCATTTGTTGTCGGTTCTTCGAGTTATATGGCCGGCCCATTGCCAATTCAGCTTACTAATCCTTTGGACTATGTCGGTAACTCTGATTCTTCTGCGGATATCCTAATTTCTAAGTTTATCACGCAGAGAAACCTCGAGCATAGCCCTGTCCTTAGCTCGCTGAGCTACCATGAGCTTTCTCATACGGCCAGCAGTGAAGGACCACGTTTCAGTTCCATAGGTCATCACTGGCAACACGCACTGGTTGTAGTCTAGTTTTTAAGTTTTGAGGTATACCTGACGAGAAGATAATTTCTTGAACGCTGCCCAGCCAAGTTGAATCCGTCCATTGATCTTTCGCTCGAAGTTGGACTCGTCAACAACTTCGAGCTTAGTGTCCCCAACAACTATCGGCATAGGTGTGACCTGGACGTCACACATGACTTTTGTTTTGTCTATGTTCATCTTAAGACCTATCCGTTGGGAGACACTATTGAGGTCATTGAGCATAGTGCTTAGGTCCCCCAACGATTCTACCATAAGGACTATATCGTCGGCAAATCGAAGGTGAGTGATGTACTCGCCAATGACGTTAATACCTTATCATTTCCAGTCTAGTAGCTTGAAAACATCTTCCAATGCAGCGGTGAAGAGTTTCAGGGAAATAACATCACTCTGTCTTACACCACTCTGTAGTTGGATAGGTTTCGTACTCTGGTACTGTACTCGGATAGCCATCATAACCCTACTGTACAAACACTTCAGCACTTCGATATACCGACTGTCAACTTGGCACCGCTGAAGGGACTGCAGCACCGCCCAAATTTAGACGGAATCAAAGGCTTTCTCATAGTCCACATACGCCAGAAATAGTGGTAAATTGTACTCCTCGGACTTCTGTACAATTTGGCGAAGGGTATGTATGTCGTCTATGGTGCTAAAGCCTTTTCGGAAACCGGCTTATACGGGAGGCTGTAAGTGGTCGAGTCTGCGTGCGGACGATGCGTTGACTTCATCAGACGAGACCTCTCTAACTTAACGTGAGGTTCAGTGTGCCTCTAACTATTCGGTGATCGCTACCAGTTTTCACCCTCGCGATCACTGAACAGTTGTCGTCTGGTCGTCATGGTCATCGAATTCAATCTCATTTTTTGTCGAACCGTCTCGGCTCGACCAGGTCCACTTCCTGTGGGGCCGCTTCTGGAAGAAAGAGTTCATTGTAAAGAGTCTTTCTCCATGAAGTCGGCTGTGGCTGCGTCCTGCTCGACCCTTGGGTTCCGTTGTCCTATTCCAAATTTCTCTACCTTCAGCTCATAGTTCTCTCTTGTGCCTAGTTTTGCGCTGAAGTCCACGAAGTTCAGAAAAGAAATGAATGGCTCTAGATATATCCTCATACATTTCCTCCACCTTCTCATCGGGATGTGCCGAGGTTGATGCGTAAACCTGTATGACCTTCAGCGAATACCGTGTGGTGGTGGATAAGGTACACTTAATATTTACAACGTGTTTAACGAGAGACTTGTGGAGGATAAGTCCGACACTTCCTTGGGATAGATGGTCGCCCTCCCAGTGATAGAACAAATTGCCGGATTCGAGGATTACCATATCCTATTACCTATCTCTTCGGACCTCGGATAATCCTATAATATTTCAGCGTAATTTGTCTATCTCTTCTTCCAGCTCCAGGATCTTCTCGTCAGTCCTCAGGGTGCGTGCGTTATATGTTGCCAGGTCAAGTCGTCTTAGGTGGCAAAAGAACCTCCACCGGAGATTCATAGCACCCTCTGCCCCGCGGTTACCATGGTCGTCACCGTAGCCAGGAATAGCGGGGCCGCCGGAGACTGCGGGCCGTCTCTTCGTAACTTTCAT